CGCCGCCGCGAAAAAAAAAAAAAAAAAAAAAAAAAAAAAAAACATTTGATCTGAAACTCCGATCAAGGTTGACTGAAAGAAATATATTGGCATGGGATAAAGTCATCATTTCTTCACCCTCACGAGGGTCGGGGGCGTGGCCAGAGCCCATCCCAGCCGCTGTCTTCGGGCACCGCGAACCGGTTGCCAGCCCATCGCAGGGCACACAGAGAGCAACAGCGAAACTTCAGATCATCTGATCGGGCGAGGTGAGGAATTGCCACCGGCAGGCCCCCATTTTAGATTCATCGACAGGAGTCGGTCGGGAGGGAGGAGTACAAAGGAGGATGTACAAAAGGAATTTGACTGAATTGGTGCATATCCACAGATTCGTTCATCTGTTTTTCTTTTTTGCGTGTGACATTTTCTAGATTTGGCCACACTCTGTCTTTCGGTCGGAGAGTCACGCAAGTCCAGGAAGCCCCGGGTTGCCCATCCGGCCTCATTTTGGCTGAGATGGGACACTCTGGAATGGTCAACAGTCCATTGCAGGGGAAAAAAAACCTTTGTGCAATTTATCAGTTGAACTACAAAGCAATCCTTTGGAATGTGGGAGGAAGCTGCAAAAGACAGATTTCAAGCGTGATTCTTTGGCATGATTTGGATGTCTCATTATCTTGTCATAAGGGTGCCTCGTTTGTACATGACATGCAGAAGTGGCCTCATTAGCAAGTCAAAATGCCTGAGCAACATCTAGACAAACAAATCCAACCTGTTTCCATGTTGAAATATTCGGCGGGGAAACCGGTGTCACGATCGGTGATGTTGGGCGCGCAAAGCAAGTTTGGTCCGACTCGACGGAATTCAGCAGAGCGCACGCAAAAAACTCCGCTTCCAAGCGCCAACTTACCCGATGAGCCACGTGACGTCACTTCCAGTTGTTGGCAGTCGGAGAACGCTAGTAAGAGTCGGAAAAAGGATTTGCCGGCTTTCCCGCACGCCGCCTTCTGAACTGCGGCACGGATGTGCGGCCGCATTCGACGCAGTGACAAAGGCCGCCTCTTCTCTGTGACAACAAAACTCCACCTCGACAAATAATGCCGGCTCGACCAGTTTGACGAGCGTCCCGACTGTCATATTTCATGGTATGGCGTGACAAGAGCAACGAGTCACGAGGTCGACTTCAGATGTGAGCGGCGGCGCACGAGCACATGCTTGTGCACAAACACACACGCGCAGGCATGAACGCTAACGCACGGCTCATTCAAATTTGCCCTCAAATACTTGTAGGCCGACAAGATCATCGGCCAATATGGTGGATGATGATGATGTAAAATAAATTAGAAAAAAAAGACATTAAGACGGGTTCCGCTCAAACAAAAATAGTTGAGATGACTCATTTTACATCGAGGGAGGGGTGCACGTGAGCAGTGCGGTGAATATTTCACGACAGCGCAAGCGTGTCTTTGCGCGTTTGCGCACGAAAAGTGGCTGGGGCCAGCTTCGAGTTCGCAGCCGGAAACCAAAAACTCGGTGAAGGCCCTATGCCACCGAGCGGCAGGCAAAGGATTGCCAGTATTTGCAAAGGCAGGGGATGTTGCGTCTTCGCCAGAGGTCATCGGGGTTCAATACAGGTGGCAAACGTGTCCTCGTCAGTCGCCACGGTTTCAGTGCTATTTTCTTATTCGCAAGGGAATTGTTGAAAAGAAAAGTACAGGCGAGCGCCCGCGACCTCGACCGAACCCCGACGTGAACGCCACATCGAGGGCTGAAGATGTTGCTCTTACTTGGAAATGGCCCCTCGCGGCGCACGACCACATTGCGGGACTTGCCGCGTCAACGCATGTTCTCAAAACGCCAACGGAGGAAAACATCGATTCCCGACATGATCGTGTACCGGGTCCCGGAGACGGAGGGAATGGGGAAAGCACGGCCGGCGAGGCCTCGAGTAACATCTCCCGCGCACACCTCCGCGGCCGATCCCAAACTAGGGCGTGGCGCTTTGTGGAAAAGAAAGTAGGCAATCGAGTTGGAGAGATGACTTCTCTCAGGAGCTTACCGGGTCTTTGGTGGGTTCTTGCTGTCCCAGGACGATGGCGGCATGGTGCGGATACTTCTGTCTCAGGTGATCCAGGAAGGCTTCCTTCTTTCTCTCCGCTTGGGAGCGCTGCGTTCGCAGGCTCTGCGGGGGGTCGCCGTCCGTCCCGGCGGTGGCGGCGCGGCTTCGGGGTAAGGTGCTCGCAGATTGTGGAGTCCCATCAGAGTTGCACAGAAGGTTGCCCGTCGCGTGATCTTTCTTGGGGAGCCGATGCTCAGTTTTTCTGCCGACGGTGCAAGAGGAGGGGGCGATTGATGGCGCACGCCCTGGGACGGGTCGATGGCACGGAGGAGTCACGGACAATGACAATATGGACGAGGGAGGGATAAAAGAGACCATCGACCAACAAACGAAAAAAAAATCATCATCATCGTCATCGAGCATGAACTGAAGGCTCAGCAATCCGAGCGCATCTCGTGCACGCGTTGCAACTTGTGGGCTCCCGTGACATTTGAAAAAGAAATTCAGGCCCAGCAGTGTTTGATGCGCTCGACGGAGACTTCTCATGGCTGCCTTGTCACGTTCGTTTCTTTGCCGCAAAAGGTCATACGGCGAGATGTTGTCGCTTCAGCTCGTTATGTCCTCAGTTCAACCTCACCGCACGTCCATTTGATCGGAATGCACAACTCAATGAGAAGATGCGTGACGCAATCGGTAATAATGGGACATTGTATCCCCACCCCCCACCCGTCTCCTTCGCTCAATTCAGGCAAGAGGGTGCGATACGCTGCACGTATCAAACGATACATCAGAAGAACTGTTCTCCTCAATCAAATACCAAACGGACTATCTCCTTCGCTCACTGTCCCTTTTGGACCCTCGCCGCAGGGTTGTGAATGTGTAACCTTGGGTGGCGAGCAGCTACCGCGCAAAGCGTATCTTGATCCAGATGATTTTATTTTGTGCAACCACTTGACAAAATAAAATGGCGCAAATTCAACGCAGCATTTTAGCGTGCGAGGCACCGATGGCGCGGTGTGGTCCACTCGCCTGACTTTTGTGCCGGCAGCGCGAGATCGGTTCCCATTCAGCGGCGGCGGGAATGACCGTTTGTCTCGATATGCGCCCTGCGACCGACTGGCGACCGGTTCGGGGTGCGGTTTGCCTTCTGACTAAAATCAGCTGGGATCTGGCTCCGGCAACTCCCGCGACCCTCTTCGGGATAAGCGGCGATCTTATCCTGTGCCTGGAACTATCCCTCGGGGTTAACGTGCAAGTTCCAGACTTGGGGGCTCATCTCAATGCTAATGCAAAGAGGCTGCAGTGGAGCTGGACCTCAAACCCGCAACCTTTATGTTGAGTGCTCAACGACTCGATCCAGAGCAGAAAAGTACAAGACCTTTGCAAAAACACCCGTTTGTTTTTTTTCTTCTTCTTCTTTTCTTTTGCCTTCATGGGCTTGGTCCACATCCTTGCTTAGAAATACACTCGTCTGACTTTTGGTGAAGATCTAAATCCGAGGCGACAAAGGATCCTTTACCATCATGATGTTGCATGTAGCCTCCCAATCGTCCCATCCCCTTCCTCTCTCACTCGCTCTATCCCAATCCTTGACAAAGTAGATTTGATTGATCTAGTTCAGCGGAGGCCTGGAGGGAAATCGGAGCTTTTTAACTGTGCTGGCCAGCGCTGTGTGGATCCCGGCTCACAATTTGCCCCTCCATTAATTAGCCCGTCAAAATTTGCTGACACTGCCCAATGAGACTGTTGGGGTACGAAAGCCAGAGTGTGTGTGTATATACATGTAGTATTCCCATCGGTTTCCCCAAAACACTGATGGGAATATACCGCGTTCCAAGCGATACCATGTATAGACCCGCAAGATTTCAATAATACATGTCACATTCAATATTTTAAACATATGACTCCAGAAGTATTGAAACTGTCGGGCAAATTCTTTGCATGATTTTTTTTCTGTCCACCCGAACTCTTTCGATTTGGGATCCAAAGTTCACTATGCAGGGACAGCATCGAAATAAGTCTTTTTGATTCAAACAAGTCAACTTGCTTCATGGTAACGACTACTTCTGCTTCTCACGTGACTCGCCCTTTTTCAGAAAAAAAAAAGCCTATTAGGTTGCCCGGATGACTCGCGTGTAAGCTGAAGTATTGGGACAGTTCAATGTCCCTAATCAGCCGAACATTTCATGTGCAGGCCTGGAAATTGTGATTGAACAGCCACACTCAACTTGATTTCAAACTACTGCCTTTAAAAGAGGAGTGCACACCCCAGAAAAAAAAAACAAAATACAAACTTGTTTTTTGTATTCCATCCATTTTCAACACGGCTTGACAGGGAAGAGGGTCGACCACTTGGAGAAGGGGGGGGGGGGGGGGGATGCTGGAGCCTATCGTGGCTGACTTTGTGTGTCCAGATTGACGAAAACATGCCGTACGGTATTCCAAAACCATGTTGAATTTAGAGATGGAATGGCTAACCTGAAGTGATGGCTCTCTTCTCGTTAGCTAGCACAACACGTGACATCGTTTCCAGAAACATGCCAAAAAAAAAAAGCCACGCTGTGAGCATGCCTAAAAATAGGCGCAAGAAATTGTAGCCTGAGTTTTATCTGAAGAGACATGAAGCTCAACGCATAGCCCGGATTCTCAGGAATGCTCTCTGAAGAGGTTTCCAGACCAAGCAGCTGTTTCCCGGGGCACTCATTGCTCAATGATGCAGAGTGTGCCACATTTGGACTATATGACAAAAACAAACAAAAAAAGAAATACCACCCATATTCTTTTCAATAGGACCTGGGAATGGAAAGACGTCTCATCTGAAATTGTCCTGCTGCTGTCGGTTCACATGAAGAACACGATAAAGGAGCAGCCACTGAGATTTGTCAAAAGAGGAGAAGAGATGAGTCGTGATTGGGAAATATGCACAATTTGGAGCATCCCATTACTTAGTGATCTCCAGACCTGCAAAAAGGTTCAGAGAAATACAAAACTGCAAATGTTTATCTAACTTTGGTCCTACGTGCAGATACTCTCATTACAAAAAAAAAAAAAAAAAAAAGGAATGGATTGTATACCTGTTCTTCTGTTTTTTGTCATCCTTCAGAGCCTCGCTAACCTGTACTCTGCGATACAATAAGCTGCACCTCCGAGAGCGCCAGTTACCACAGTGGTGCCTGAGGTATTTGGAGCAGTCGGGGTCGATGCCTTTCCATTTTGCAGCCCTATTTTTTTCATGTTCTCCCTTTTGTCGCGTACAGTCTCCCCGTGCTGCACTTGGGGTGAAATCCCGCACAGATTGGGAGGAGTTTCCTTTTCTGAATGTCATGGCCTTTTATTTCTTCCCCGAGGCGTCTTAGGAGACCAGCGTGCTTTCTGTGGACCAACGAGCATTTCTATTCCATTTTCTTGAGAGGGTGCAAAATCCCGACAGAATTTGTCTATCGGCATTTAACACGTGGACCAGGTTTTGAAGCACACGTCTCACGGGAGAGAGTGTTCGATGGAGGCTGCCTCCACCGCACCAGGTCCAGCAAAAAAACAGCGGCCACCACAAACAATGGCGTCGGTTGCAAGAAGTGTTCCCATTTTTCATCGCACGTGCGGAAACGCGGCGGGATCGCGTTAACTGGGAGGGAAAGTGAAAGCTTAGTCATATGTCAAGGCAGTATGTGGGACAAAAACATGCAGGGCGACGCCAGTCCAGCCGTTCACCGGGGACCGCCGCGAAGTGGAGAACCTACAAAACCAGCAAATGAGAATGCAGATCAAGAAGGAATGCCAAAAGGGGTCATACGAGCATAGACACGGATACGGTCAACGCCAGTTCCTACATCAGCATCCCTCCACGCATCCCTTTTCTCATCCATTTTTCCTGATGGGGCCGCGGGCGGGCCAGAGCCTCTCCCAGCCGTCTTCGGGCTGGAGGCGGGGTAGACCCTCGACGATTGCCGGTCGATCGGAGGGCACGCAACCATTGGCGCTCACAATCACACCATCCGGGGCGGCAGAGTCCAAACTCGGGCCTGGACGGCCGCTGTCCTGCCCGCTTTCCGGCGCTCTCAGGAGCAACACTCCTGTATTTGGACTTCAATATAAAAAAACTAATCTGTGAATAGTGCCAGGCGGGCGTCCACTGGAGTGGAGCAAAATGTTCATCTTCTCCACCCCCCACTGGGAGCAATTCGCTTTTAGTGTCTTGCCAAAGTACACTAACGGAGTCAGGATTTGAACCGGCGATTCTTCGGACAACACGCTCTGCCAAGTGAATCACAGCCACCCCTGCGAAAGTACCTAACCTCGTACAAAAAAAAAAAAAAAAAAATTACAGTTCTAGCATAGAGCTTCCCCAATTGCCGAAATTGTTTTGGAGGAGAGGTTCCGGATTTTTTGAACAAGGTGAACATTTTTTCATTCAAAGTCATCTGTGTTTGTTTATAATCTCACTAACTTTGGCTTGTTGTTGTGTCATACTACAGAGTGGTAAATGTTTTTACCCGAAAGAAAAAAATCCAAAATCAAATCCAAAGCTAATCAAGAGGTCAGGAAAACATCCGATGACCCAGCTCCATGTTTGCCGTGTATCTGGCCGGACCTTCGTGTCATGGTAAATGGTTCCCAATGTGTCTGTGCCACTTGCAAACGCCTCCGTCGGCCATACGGTGACCTCATCGGAAGCAGCGAAGCCTGCGACATGCCGTGCCTCCGTTCAAATCACGCTTGCGCGAAGCAACACATTAGCGTAGGACTGAGTCACGTTACCTAATGACTGAATAAAGTGCCGCTGGAGTCGTCTATTTGTGCGCCCAAACAAACCCCCACCACCGCACACGCATGCACGCACATTTTGCTCCGGGGCGTTTGACTCACTTACGTCCGCCGACTGCTTCAAGAAGAGCAGGGATGCGTTTGAAAAGGAATTGCATTCATTATTCTCATGATGATTTGGGGGCTTCTCAGAGGCAGGGATATCTTTTCGAGACTGACTTCTTTTGATTTGAGTAGACTGACAACAAACGAAACTTTTCAACTCTGTGTTGTTGCCACTCACCGCGATGCGAAAGGCACGACGGACTTCCGGCATTCAAAGTTTTTGCATGACACCGCTCGGTCTGTGCCGGCTTACCTTCACGTCGGTACGTGTCCACGTGCTCGGCGGCTTTGTCCTCCCCGTCCGCTTTTGTCGCTCCGTCGGGTTCTTGTCCCGAGGCAGAAGCCTGGCTCGGGTTCTGGCTCTGGGCCGCGCAGGGTCTCGGGACCAAGTTTCCCTCGCTGCCCGCTCTCATCAGCCTCTCTCCGATGCGCAACATGCACGAGCGGTTCCCTTGGAGGTCCTTTTTCAAGTCGGGGGGGTGGGATCCCGCCGATGACCCGGGTCGTCCCGAACGGGCGGAGGACTTGGACATCTTCCCCGCCGGCTTGTGCGGAGCACTTGTTAGTTACTCGAGGACTCGGACGTCTTTCTCCTTGCTGGGGTGGACGTCTTTGATCTTGGCTTGGCATCTACGCTTTGGAGCGCTTCTCTCTTTCGTCCAATCCCCTGCTGGGTTTTTTTTCCCCTCCAATTTGTGCAATCGGTCTGTCCATCAGTTTCCTTTTCCCGATGGTCTCCCGTTGCCTGCGTTCGGGAGGATTCTTGTGCCACACGCTCTTGCCTCACATTCTGGATGAGGGTCTTCCAGCTGAAAATTTGCT